TGACGTGTGCTCTGGCCCAGTTATGCGCACACATGCAGTGCGTACACATACTGCAAAACACGCAGACAGAACCCAGTGATAATATTGGCTATCAACGGGTCATTCCTTACATGCCTTTTGGATAAACAGACAGCCAGAAATAAAGAGGGAGAAGGTTTGTGCATGCAGAAGAAAGGGAAGGAGAAAAACAAAGTCACTGGGAAAGACTTTTGTATGTGTGTAAGCGCGCGTGGGAGGGGGTTAATTGAGCTGCCCCTGTAATGTCATTTGATCTAGAAAGCCTTATAAAATGTACAGACCAGGCCAGCATAACCGAGATATACCGGTTGTGTGAAGACATGAGTAAAAGGATAACAGTGAGATATTGCCTATATCTCACTATATAACAGAAGGGCAGCTTTGTTCACAGGATTTGTTTATGGAAATGTTTACCCATGACAGCAGATTACTATATCCATACTCCAATATCAAAGGAATAACTCATTATGATCCCATACATCTACATGCATAACCACAGTCAGAATCACCATCATGCTGCCAATTCCCAGTTTATTGCTGAATGCCTAAAATGTAAAATCCAATATTACTAAACTAATGGCTTAAACGTAACCTCTAAAGTCAAGGAGAGGAAGGACGGATGTTGGGAAGCAATCACTCATGAATGGAGGGGGAAAGAGATGGAGGATTGCTGATAACCACAAAGACTACAGGGATCAGAGTGAACAGGAGAAAACAGGAGACAAACAACGCCAGGACAAATTGATGAAACCCATTTTGGTTGAACTAATGGGCCGCTAAAACCACAATAAGTGACACAAAGAGCTGAGGAAGAAACAGCCATTTAGAAAGACAGATGAAATATGTAGGAGAAGTGGGAGCGTAGCTATGTAGTGGTGTTAAAGTAGACAAATAACAAGTGTAATATCCATATTAGCACTCAAGATGGTACATTAAAAATCCATTATGGTTAGAGCGGCTCATTTGTATTTGATTGTGTCCGAGTACTTCAGAGATGTGCGACAGTCTATTTGGCCGACTTTGAAGGTAATCAGTTTGTATGTGTGTAACTCTGTGTGTGTAAGACATCGAGTACGTCTCACCTGGCCAGCACCTATGGTCCAGTAGAGGAAGAATCCTTCCGGATCAACTTTCAGGTTTATCAGCGTCGGCTGTGTACTGTTAGGCTCCTAGGCGACAACAGAAAAGCAGATGTTAAAAAATTGCAAACACAAAATAAAGGTCCAAGAAGAGAAAAAAAACCCCACAATGTGCAACTCAAAACAGGAGCCAGTGTTTATTACAACTTGGGTCTTACTTTTTATAGATTTGGCCTTGAATTTGATGGGGTATTATGTTGGAACATTATCACAACACACATTGAATTAGGGTCCCAAACGCTCGCTCCCTGTCATTGTTTGCTAGTAAAAATGTTTTTTTTTTAAATCCTTCAAAAAGCTGAACTATCCACAGGGTAAAGACCTCTAAAGTACATTTCTGAAATGAAAAAGTGAGCCACGCCAGCGATGAAAGAGGATACTGGTATTACATCATGAGGCGTCAGCAGGAAGACTGGGAAACAACTATATTCCGGAATCTAAGATAAGCATGTAGCTTGTGCTATAGCAGAATATAGATCATTTCAAAAGCTATGAATAATATTAATATGCTTGCAAGTACCTTGCTAACTAACTACACATAAGCTGATAAAATAAATAACTCAACAGCATTGTGAAATTTGGTATTTTTGGCCAACTACAGCCAGTTTGTTGGAGTTTCAACCAGCTGTTCCATAAGATAAGGCAATCAGGCCCCACCAATATAGGATTTTAATATTGATACCAATACTGATATTTGGTGATTTCTTATCTGATACATTTTTGTCTATGATAAAAACAAAACAAACAGATTTGACTAACATTTGTTAAGTCTAGTTATTTATGTTAAACCTTAAATCATCGCAGCCAAATGACTAAATGACTATTTTTAAATTACTTTACTTAAAAATATGAATGTAAGTAAGTGTAGCCTCCGTGCTATTTATAGTTGTTGTTTTTGTCATAATATGGGTGCCGTTTGTCAGTGGCACATTAAAGACGTTCTGAACGGGGATCGGAATGTGAACGCTTGAGTCAAACAGAGTCCCAGTATCAAACATGTGCACTGATGCGTCATCAGATTGACTAATCAGACTATACTGAAAAGACTGTAGTCTAAAATTAAAGGTATGTTATATATATTTAATTTTAGTTTGGTTTTTTTTGTTTAACAGTTTTAATATAGTTGTAGTTAATTATAAAAAAAACGTAATGGTCTGAAAATAGTGAGAGGTATTTACCATTAATAATTTTAATAACAGTGATTAGGTAAAACACCTGAACTTGGGACTGCTTTCACACTAATCATTTACATATTTATTTAAAGGAAAATGCTGTAGAAAAAGTCATCGCACATTTCATAGACTACACAACTCATTTGCTTATTGTTGAACCGGGACAGATACGCTTTGCTAACACTATTCAAGGAAAATCACGACACATCTGTATAGTAGCAGAAGAGGCACGGACTCAACAGATGGGAAAATCCTAAATGCTCGCTACTGACTGAAAGTTTTTGTTGTTACCATCAAAATTATGGCCAACCTACAAAAATAATAAGACCCAGTTAGTATAAAACTCTACTTTGTTTAACTTTATGACCTTGTAGATGGACAGAAAGACAAAGGAAAGGACACCATGTGTTTATGTCACATGTTGCTCAACAGCTGTTTTCAAGCTGGAAACCACAAGCTTTGACCAGCATGAAGATCTCATTCATGTGCAGCATAATGATGGCACAGAAGCCTGAATCAACATATCATTAGCATCATCATTATGGAGTCGTACGCAAGATACGATGACCACATGCACAAACACAGGCACACAAACACACACACAAAGCTTCTGGCTGCGTAATTACAGTCACACTCTGGTCCAACAGACAAACACATTGCCAAGACCGCCCGGGAAACAGGGATGTTGATTCAAATTGCTATAAAAGTGACAGACTCACAACACCAAAGCATCAACTTAACAATATACTTCTCATAATCGGATTATAAGAGAGAGAAGGACCTCCTGGTAACCACATAAACCTTTCTCACTATCAACTTAACAAAGGAAAGAAGCTTTATAATTTCCTTAATGTGTGGTGAAAAAAATATGCAGCTATCATGTGAGTTCAACAAAGCTGAAACATTAATGTCTGCAATTTTAACTTAAACACAAAAATGAAGCAAACGGGAAAAAAGCACTTGAAGGCTTCCACACAAAAACAGAGTGGGTTGATAAAATAAGTGATGGAGGCAACTGGCAAAGACAGGAAAACGTTATGAGACTCCATAAAGGACTGTAGTCCTTAAGTATACTCTTGTATACTTAAAGTACACAATTTTTCTTTAGATCTATAAAACAGTTATAAAACGGCTAACAATGCTAACAGTTTTCATTTATACTTTATATCCAAAAAAGAGAATAAATGTGCACCATATTAGTTTAGCGTTTTAATTTAAACCTATGAGATATCCAAACAACACATATCTTGTGATATATTGTTATCTTTCACCATCTGTTACTTTTGGACAGAGCCTGGCTAATCGCATTTCCTGTTTTAGCTTTTATGCTAAGCAACAAATTTAGCGTCTAATGCTGGGCTTCTCGTGTTACCAACCCTAAGCAAAATTATTCCCAGTGTTTCCCAAACTCTTAAAATGTTCCCTTACAGAGTCCTTGCAAAACATACATTACATTTTAAGCTGAACCTACCTTCATTTTAGGCTCCAAGGTTGGCTAACAGAGTGCGCAGGTTAGCAAGAGAGGTAAATAAAGGAGAAAGACAAAGGTTTAAGAACAGGATAGAAGTAGGTGGATGGGAGCAGGGAAAAAAAATTTATAATAGAAAATAAAACAAAATGTCAGGAGAGGTAGCTGAAGTTAAATCTTAAATTAGCCTCATTTTTCTAACTTGACCATGCATAATGTCAGCCATTTTATTGTTGCTATAGTGACTAGCAATGACTGAGTAGACAAGGGGGCGATTTTAGACCCATCATCAGGCCTTAATAAGCAGCAATATGTTCTTTTAAAAGTGAGCTGCGTTAGCTTAGTTAGGTAGAAGCAACTATAACACAAAAACACAGTCTGAAGCTCCAGCCAGCTCTAGAGATACAAGGAATTACTGCTTCGCTCTGAACAGAAACTCACTGACAGAATAATTTGAATGCAACTTCAATCGTGAAGTCAAACGTGCACTTAATCACTGAACTTGTGACCTCTGCTTACTCACTGGTGCAAATGGAATGCTATACATCCCCAATTTCACGCTGTGATTACCATCTTAAGGCTGTGACCTGATGTCAAGGCCTCTTTTCAGCCGGAGATTGGTCAGAACAAATGTCTTGCAGTGAAGCTTGCAAATCTCCAGCCATATAGCTTTTGTTTGTGTATCTTATGTCTGCAAGACCAGCGGTCCCCAACCCCCGGGCCTCGGACCGGTCCGTGAGTCGTTTGGTACCGGGCCGCGAGAGTTGAGGCTCAGGTGTGAA